GAAATATTGGTCTTGCCGTTCAATATGTGGTGAGTGGGCAGGACTCATAGTCTTGGTATCAGATAAGTTACACTGAGCTAGTGTGAGTCACTGCACATTCTACCTTGGACTTTGGCTGTCCTGATTGTTTTGGGTGACTATAAAGGAACTGTTGGTATGAATCAATTTTATGTTTGGCAAGTTGCAACCAAGAGATATTGTGTTGCTGTTTCAAAGGCTAGAGGCTGCAAGATTGTCCAGGTTCAGCATTGTTCCCCTCGATCATATTCCTCTCCTACGAGCTGCATTCCTATTCTGTCCCACTTAAGGCAAGGGAGGAGGGTGGACAAAAAAACTGGTGGAGGATCAAGGCAAGAGAAGCTCCATCTGCAGGATCTCCTGCTATCTCAACCCTTCTTGATTCTGAATAATCTGTCCTTCCAGGGAGTACATAACTGCATAAGAAAGATGGTTTCTGGGCAGACCATCCATCCCTGACCATTGGCTATGCTGGAAAAGGTGTGGAGAACCTAATCAAAGGGGAGGGGGTTCAAATGTATATCAAGTGGATGTGCTGTGGTCATGAGCCTATTTTGCAATTCCTCCCCCCCCCCCTTGCATGCACACTTAACAGTCTGACACACAGCAACATAGCAAGTGAAGGTATATCTGCCATGGATATGAATGGAGGGAGCTTCCTCAGCTGCATTTCTGTGCACTTAAGCTGGTGTTCAAGGGTCAGTAAAAATGTATCTCTTGTTGTTCTAGTCTTCAAAGAATACCTATGATTTGAAGAATTTGCAGCAAAGGCAAAATTTCACCAGACACAACTATTTCCATGCACCTATAAAGCTATGGAACAGGGGTCCCCAAACTAAGGTCCGTGGGCCGGATAAGGCCCGAGGGACTCGTTTATCTGGCCCGCAGCGACCCCCGCCGCCCGCTGCTGCCGCCTGCTATTACCAGCACTGCGCTGCATGGCTGCCCACTTCCGGGTCGGAGGAGCACCCGAAATAGCTTGTGTGCATGCACAAGCATTATTTGTGCATGTGCAAGCGTTATTTCCGGTGCACCTCCAACCCGGAAGTGCACCGGAAATAGCGTGTGTGCACACGTATGGGCACGTGCTCCCCCACCCTCCAGCCCGCCGCATGATCAGCGCTGGAGACACCGGCCTGAGGCGCAGTAAGTTTGCTGACCCCTGCTATAGAAGCCCACATTCAGCAACCCTTATTTCATTGGTGAATTAAGTAAAGCCACTTCCGGGCTTGCCCCAGGAGGTGGGGTTGCGGGCATCACGCCCTCCCCACGTGAGCGGGGGCTGGGTTCAGCCCCCCGCGAGAACAGGGGAATCCCGATCGTCCACGCCTCCCAGCCAGCCAATCGGCTGGCTGGGGGGGCGTGGCTTGCCCTATTTAGGGCCGGAGCGGAGGGGGCTCGCCCTCTCTTCTCCGGCTAGCCCCCACAGTATGCTGGTCAAAGTATGAGGCACGATTATTTTCAGCGGCTTACTCCATTGCCTTTTTTGGAGCTCTGCGTGTGGGTGAGTTAGTTTATGAAGCGGGTCAGCACGGCTTCTCCAGGGGCTTGCTGCTAAGTGACGTTACCCTGTCACGGGAGGACCTGGTAGTACGGATACGCAGCTCTAAAACAGACCAGTATGGGAGGGGGGCTCTTGTTCAGCTTATGGCCACCGGTAGCCCTGGCCCATGTCCAGTTAAAGACACAAGGCGCTTCTTATCCCTGAGGGTCAACTCGGCAGGGCCTCTGTTGATACATGCAGATGGTTTACCTTTGACGCGTCACCAGTTCACTCGGGTCATGCGCCTAGCTCTGGCAGCATGCGGCATCCCCGCAGCAGATTTTGCTTCACATTCTTTCAGGATAGGAGCAGCCACCACGGCAATGCACCTGGGTCTTACGACTGAGAGGATTAGGGACTTAGGGCGCTGGAAATCTGACGCATACAAACGCTATTTGAGGAAGAATTTGTGACGGTGACTGACCATGGTTTGTTTTTTCAATCTCCTACAGGTGATATGGGGGTGCGCGTCTGGATTATCGGGCACAGTATTGTGCATTGGGCCAGGGTCCGCGCCATCATTACCGGTCTCGGGCCGCACCTGGGCCTACCTGACGTCACCATTTCCTGGGTCTCCCGGAGGGGAATGCGCTGGGCCGAGTTGCTGCCCGCAGTTAAGGCCAGAGCTGCAGTGGAGGGCCCCCCAGACGCTTTATTGATACAATTGGGGGGAAACGACCTAGCCTACAGGAAGGCAGTTGACTTGCAGTGGCACATTTTTAGCGACTTCGAGGAGCTGAAGGCTGCTTACCCGAATGTCACAATTATTTGGGCCTCACTGATGGAGAGGCGGATTTGGAGAGACTGCAGGTGCCCGATAGCTATTAATAGGGCTAGGAAAGCCTTGGATCGGGCGGTGGTGCGTAGAGTGGCAGCCCTGGGTGGGATGGTGATTGGCCACCCCGGGCATTCGTTTCAACCTTGAGGCCCTCTACCGGTATGATGGCGTGCATCTTTCGGATGCTGGTAATGATGTCTGGCTTAGGGATATTGCAAAAGGGGTTAATGGAGTGGATTCAGGCATGAGAGTATTGGCGGCGAGCGGCTGCTCGGTGGCGGTAGGCATTGGTAAGATGGGTTAAGAGGATGTGTGGGGGGGGAGGAACGCCATCACCTCCCCCCAATGAACGAAGGTGGTCCGTTAAAGGACTCCGGGGGGCGTGGCCCTGTCCGAAGCCTATGGAGGTGAGGGCCAAAGGCACGCCCCAGAGCGGTGACCCGGGGGAGCTCTTAGCCGACGTGCCTCAGCGGGAGACTCCCCCGATTAGTGTTAACCCTTCCCCGTGTCTCCAGCAAATGGGCTGGAGCCGGATAGTCGATAGGACCAATGCCTAAGCCAATGCCTCTCATTCCTGAAATTCAATAAAGTTGTGGCCTAATTCGCCCAATTAACCTTAATTATGGTGTCTCGTGTGTTTATTTATCTTGGTGGGGGGCGGGAACTCGCCACGCAAAGCCACTTCCGGGCTTGCCCCAGGAGGTGGGGTTGCGGGCATCACGCCCTCCCCACGTGAGCGGGGGCTGGGTTCAGCCCCCGCGAGAACAGGGGAATCCCGATCGTCCACGCCTCCCAGCCAGCCAATCGGCTGGCTGGGGGGGCGTGGCTTGCCCTATTTAGGGCCGGAGCGGAGGGGGCTCGCCCTCTCTTCTCCGGCTAGCCCCCACGTTTTCCCACCCTCCCTCCCTTTAGTTGGGGTTCTTAGGTAGGTCTGACTTTGCTATGGACTTCGGTCTGTCGCCGCAAGGGGCATGGTAGGAATTTTTCCCAATTGGTCATTTACAGCCTTTTGGTTTTTCGCCTACCTCGTAGCAACTCGTCACAACTCTTCGGCATTGGCGGTAGGCATTGGTAAGATGGGGTTAAGAGGATGTGTGTGGGGGGAGGAACGCCATCACCTCCCCCAATGAACGAAGGGTGGTCCGTTAAAGGACTCCGGGGGGCGTGGCCCTGTCCGAAGCCTATGGAGGTGAGGGCCAAAGGCACGCCCCAGAGTGGTGACCCGGGGGAGCTCTTAGCCGACGTGCCTCAGCGGGAGACTCCCCCGATTAGTGTTAACCCTTCCCCGTGTCTCCAGCAAATGGGCTGGAGCCGGATAGTCGATAGGACCAATGCCTAAGCCAATGCCTCTCATTCCTGAATTCAATAAAGTTGTGGCCTAATTCGCCCAATTAACCTTAATTATGGTGTCTCGTGTGTTTATTTATCTTGGTGGGGGGCGGGAACTCGCCACGCAATTGTGTTCATAGACAGGTGTCAATTTACAAAGCTTTACCTTTGTAAAGCTTCTTATGGACGGAAAGTAGGGTGCAATCTGACTGATGGCCTTTTCTTTTGAAGTCCTCCTTCACTGTGAAACCCTGGTGATATTCTGTGCTACTCCCAGTCAGAAGAGCGCCACTAAAATCAACAGGCTCAAGGAACTGACATGCATTGATTTCAGTGGGTCTACTCTGAATATGACTTGGTGATCACCCTTTGGCTGTGACTTTTAAACAGAGCAGTATTTTATTCCATTTCTTCAAGGTAAGAGGTTGGAGGATCAGAGCCTCTGTGCTTAGAGAGAAAGAGAACACTGCTTGAGATCAACAAAGAGCACTCGAGGTGAATGGTTAATGGCCCATTAATTTGAACAAAGCAGTTCATTCATATTCAACTAAAAGTAATAGGCAAGGACTGAGCAGGTATAAACCAATCTTCTCTGGCCACAGTCTTCATCATACAGAGGAATGAGCTCTTTGGAAATGGACACACCACCATTTCCGTAGACTCTTTCATAGGTCTCGCCTGTGTATTTAACTGCTGCCCAGCCTGCCAAAGTAAGTTCCCTCCTAGGGAAATAGAAAGCAACCAGATGCTCCCTCAGATTTATAGCAGATAAAAAGACTTATGTGGCGTCAAAGCGCTGGTGAAGATTTAAGTTTGAATATTCCATTAACTCTGTGCATGTGTCTGTATACATGTGTCTGTATATAAATTTGCACATGTACTGTTCGCTGTGTTTGTGTGTCCGTAACAGAGTATGTATGCATTTTTACACTGGCATCAGAACAAGGATCAAATGTGATGGTACACAACTGCACAAAGTGCATGCTTTTATCTATATCACTTCTGTTCCTCTGTGGATTTTGTTGAGTATACCATTGTATGCTACACCTGTGCACATGTGTAGTCCTGAATGTATGCAAGATATGGGCATGAACAGGATTTAACAGTGTTTAATCGATACATGGGTGATGCCCCCATCTTCCTTGCTTGGTGAACTGTTTGAAAAGCACTTTGCCAATATGTGAATTTCCCTATCTTCCATTCTATTCGTCATCACCCTGAGGGTGGATGCTTCTGGGAAAGTGTCCCTGTTTACAATCTCCACCCTCTGCCAGCCAATCCTTTCACATTCCAGACACACCTGCTGTTCCACATTCACCCTTGGCCACTCTCTCCCACTGACCTTGTGCTGTGAGCCTTGATTTTTAAATCTACAGCAAAGAAAAGAGTCAAGCTGCAGATCTCGGCGTGGAAGAGCCCTGTTATACAACTTGTTGGAGAAAAGAAGTTATCTCATCTGCCGTTTCCTTGGATCGTTGCAAAAGATATCGCTTTGTAGGGCCCTGGGGGCTGGTAGAGATGCAAAGAGGCTTAGAGACTCCAGACCAGTTAGGTGCCAACCGGGAGACTCCAGGAATCCCTGAGATCAAAGTTGTTGTCGTAGGAGATGGAGGCTGCGGAAAGACATCGCTGCTCATGGTCTTTGCAAAAGGAGACTTCCCCAAGGTAAGCCCTGTCTATCCACAGGATTGTTACCACCAATAATATGCTTGTTATTTGCCATACTATATCCTGCCCAAGGAAAACTGTCCAACTTTCAAAGTGGGATTGGGTTGTTGCTCTTTTTACTGCCCTGAGGTTATCGTTCTGGGAACCTCTAAGATAGGGGTGGTGGGGAAACCTTTTTCAACTCAAGGGTTACATTCCATTCTAGGTAAGGTAAAGGACCCCTGGACGGTTAAGTCCAGTCAAAGATGACTATGGAGTTGCGGCACTCATCTCACTTTCAGGTCAAGGGAGCCGGCATTGGTCCACAGACAGCTTTCCAGGTCATGTGGCCAGCATGACTAAACCTCTTCTGGTGGAACGGGACACGGACAGAAACCAGAGCACATGGAAACACCATTTACCTTCCCTCCATAGTAGTACCTATTTATCTACTTGCACTGGTGTGCTTTCAAACTGCTAGGTTGGCAGGAGCCAGGACAGAGCAACCGGAGCTCACCCCATCACAGGGATTTGAACTGCAAGCCCAAGAGGCTCAGTGGTTTAGGCTACAGCACCACCCGCATCCCTTTACCATTCTAGGTAACCTTCCAGGGGCCACATGTAAGAGTGGGTATCAGGGTCAGGTCAGCAATGACTCACAAGATGTCAGTGAAGCCTTTAATCAAAGAAAAATGGCTCAGCCCTAGTGAGCACAGCTACCCTTTCCAGTAGGTCTTGCCCCAATGAGGCAGTTGCGAGGACTAAAGGTTCCTGCCTTCACACCACTCTTTAAGGCTCCTCCTCCCCAGGTTCGTTCCCAAGCTATCTGAAGCTCATTTGTCTCGTCTCTCATTGTTCCACCCTCTTCATGCCTCTGTGGGTTCTGGAAGTCCGGGGTGGAGGGGAGATTGTCGCAACAGGAGGGGGAGACCCCCTGGCTTCTTCAGCAGCCTGCCTCCACTCTGCCTCTTGCCCCCCCTCCTCTCCTGCCTCTGCTTCTGTCTCTGCCACAGCCTCTTCCTGCTCACTAAAGCCTGTTGCCACTCCAACTTCTGGCACCTCCTCCTTCCAGTCTGCTCCCTCTTCTCCCTCTGACCACTAATCATCATCCCAACACCAATTCCCTGGCTCTGATCCTTCTTCCTTTGGGAATTCCCTTGGGGGTTCCCCAGCTGGAGCCTCCCACCACTCCTCTGCATCCAACCAGTCCATGACACCACATGACAGAAATGGGCAGGGCCAGAGGCAATTGTGGGTGGAGCAATTAATGTAAATACTAGCTTTGTGCAGGAGGCTACACTCACCCATCCCTCTCTGTCAACCACCCAGGCAAGGAAAGGGCATCATCAGGGCTTAAGGACACATTCCAGTCTGGCAAAACTACCCAAGGAAAGTAGGACTGGTGACAGGGTAGGGTCTGGGGAAAGGGTGTGTTTAATTAATTAAATTTATTAGTTTTATACATTTATGGCCTGGGAAGAGTCCTAAGGGACAGATAGAGAGGCTGGGTGTGTCAACTTTGGTCTCAGGCCTGAGTTTCCCCAACCCTGACCTAACATGGTAAATTCTACCAACAAAAACAAGGTAAGCAGGCTTCTCTCACCATCTCCTTGGAGTCATGGGTAATGGGACCCTTGGGACTTCACTGGAACAAGTTCAGTAGGGAAAAGTCAAGCTGTGACTAAGAGTACTACTGGTCAGTGTCACCGAACCTCCTTTCACACAAAAAAACCATTTATTTAGTTGCCAATACTGTTGCTATACAAAAGAAGAATTTGTCTGGTGTGCATTCTCCAGTGGTGCCCACTAGGGGTGGTTGAGCAGGAGACAGGAGCCAGAATCAAGGACAGGGAGACCCAACTGATTCTAGTTCTGCACCTATCCTCCTCTTTGCTGAGTTGCACCTGAGCAACCCTGAGGCTAAGGAGGAGGAACCTGATAACCAGGTCCCCCCCCCATGGCTGTTTGTAAGCACAGGTGGGAAACAGGTGGGAACTGACTGAGAGCAGACTGAGGGTGATGGGTCACTGCCACATTCTTCCTAATGCAGCAGTCACCTCTGGTGTTCTCAAAAGGTAAGCCCACCTGGCAGCAAACACAGTACATGGATCAGTAGCAGATGGTGGGGTGGGATGGCTGTGCTCACCTGACCACCAGACTTTTCATGCTGCTTACTGGGAAGTAGAAAGGGAGGAGTGAGGCCAGTGTAGTGCAAACACAGAAGCAGAGACAATCTCATGCTCCTGCCAGCGCATTTGCACTGCACCAACCTCACTCCTGCACCTCCCAGTGAGCAGCAACAATGTGGCTGGCCAGAGGTCAGGTGAGTAGCAGTGCCCCACCAGGCCATCTGCTCCTGACATTGAACGAAGGCTCATTTGAGCAAAATGTTGAGGAAAGGGATGCACGATAGTATCTTGAAGAAAAAATGTTGGAATGGAGATAGAATACAAAACGGTCCTTTCTCACAGACAAGGCAAAAACATGTCTTTCTCACCTTCCTCTTCTTCTAGGTTTACATCCCAACAGTATTTGAGAAATATTCAGCCCCCTTCCACATCAACGACAAGCAAGTGAATATCAGTCTCTGGGATACAGCAGGTGTGTGCGTCAGGGTAGCTGAAGGGGAGGGTTATGGACAGTCACATTGGAAGGTGACATATTATCGGGTCATATTATGCTGAGAATGGGTGTGCTGTCAAGTCATATAGGCATCATCAACCAGAAGAAAGCTAGGTGTGACACAGATTTCTGCATATTCATTGTGGCCACTGAGATCTGTCGGCTGGAAAGTAGGGTTGCACTTTCATAAGGACAATTGATTTTGCTATGTCAACTATACAGTGGTACCTCAGGTTACATACACCTCAGGTAACATACGCTTCAGGTTACAGACTCCGCTAACCCAGAAATAGTGCTTCAGGTTAAGAACTTTGCTTCAGGATGAGAACAGAAATCGGGCTCCGGCGGCACGGCGACAGCAGCAGGCCCCATTAGCTAAAGTGGTGCTTCAGGTTAAGAACAGTTTCAGGTTAAGTACGGACCTCCGGAACGAATTAAGTACTTAACCCGAGGTACCACTGTACAATTATATCAAAATGTGCTTTCCCTTTTGCAATAGTACCGTACATTTCTTACCATGGGCTAGCCAGGGAGGTGGGGGTGGGCAGGGCTTAGGGCATAAGCCCTGACCCCGACTTAGGAGCATACCAAGGTGCCAAGCGAGCTCTGTAAAGCACTTGTGTCAACAGCCCAAGCCATTTGGATGTTCCAGTGATCGGCCAGGGCTTTAATAGGAGCGCCAGTCATAGCAGCCAGAAAATCCCCGCTTTCAGTGTATTTGCATTCTTTTAAATGATCATACGCTACATTTTCTGTGTTGCTGATGAGACTCCTTTTGGTTGTGTGAAGCGATACATACATCAAACAAACTAAACCTAAATTAAACTTGAGTGAGGTGTTATAGATGCTACAACCTCCCTGACAGAGATTTTTGTTCAAAGAGGCAGTATCAATAGATTGTTAAAATGCTTGGGTGGAGCCCCCTTCCCCAAAATGTCACACAGGTAGTAAGTATTACTCACTTAGGTGGAAACTGCATTGGGAAAATAAGGATGAAAACTCTGGTTAAAGAATACAGTATGTGGAATATTTCTTCAAAAGAAATTCTCTTTTAATGTAGAGTAGAAAACAGAACAGAAGTTGAACTTAAACATGTAAATAAAACATATCTTAATATTTGGAGGGCTTATTTATTTACTTACTTACTTACTTACTTACTTACCTCCAAAAGTCCATATTTTCATGGTACAACTTCCTGGAGACCTTACTGAGCATTTTCTTGATTTGTTGCAGGGAGGTTAGATGACCTTGGCTATTTAAGGAGCCTTCAACCCTCCATTGTCTCCAGAGGTAGATGGATGCCAACCAGTTCTGACTCCTTTGTAGGGAGGTTAAATGACATTGCATCAAAGCAAATGTCACCACCCCACCCACCCCCACTTTCCAGTGCATTTTCTGATCACTTTTCTTCTCGCAAAAATGTCAATCTTTTGGGGAACTTGGTTTCTTGAGCAAGAGCTCCTAATCAGCTGTAACTGCACAACCTGAATGTGCCGATACTGTATGTATATGACTGGATCCTGGTTTGTGACTAAAATGTTTCCTTCCAGTAGGTGGCAGCCCAACCAAATTTGCACACACAATACCTCTCCTGTTAATTGAAAGCATATTCCCCCCCCCCCCCGCAAAGAATTCTAGGTATTGTAGTTGGTTTAGAGCTGCTGGAAATTGTAGTTCTGTGAGGGGTAAACTACAGCGGCTGAAACTTTTTGAAAGAAATAATGTGCTTCGGCTGTGCTTTAAAAGTATAGTGCGTGCACAGCCCCAATATGAGGAAGAGAACTTTCCTGTAAATACTGGAAATCTGTTCTGTTAGAAGTCGTATTTTAAAATTTCTGAATTTCCAGAGTTGCCAAGCAGGGTCCTGATAGTGCTTAAGTGGATTATCTGAGACAGGTTTCTGAGGGAAGACAAAAGGGAAAGCCTCCCTCACTCCACTCCCTGCCCTCAAGCACATGTTCTTATTATGAAGGTATCTTTTAAGTGATAAGGATGATAAGATTAACAAGTTAGAATGCAATGCAGCAATATTCCCCTAAGGAAATGCAAGTGGTGGCATTTTTGGCTTGCTTAAGTATAAATTAATCAGATGTTAATAGCTCAAACATTCCATTTAAAATTTCATTTTCAGTAGGAACCTGCCTCCGTGCTAACCATGCAATCTTGCAGTAGAAAGGCTGAATTGAAATCCTCTTATTAAAAAAGGTCTGGCTTGATGGACTTGTAGAAGCCAGTTGGCCCATAACCTGTTAGACTCGGGTCCAACCATCTATTGTTGATACAACACCACACTTTGACTAGTGTGATCGGCAGAGTATGCGCAGCTCCAGCAGATTCTTCCAGCACAACATGCAGAGTCTTCCTATTTTCCAGTAGATCGCCATGTCCAGAGTTCCCAGTTAAGACAACTCCTTTCTCACTCAGTTCAGTTCAAAGTACAGTGGTACCTCAGGTTAAGTACTTAATTAGTTCGAGGTCTGTACTTAACCTGAAACTGTTCTTAACCTGAAGCACCACTTTCACTAATGGGGCCTCCTGCTGCCGCTGCGCCGCCAGAGAATGATTTCTGTTCTCATCCTGAAGCAAAGTTCTTAACCTGAAGCACTATTTCTGGGTTAGCGGAGTCTGTAACCTGAAGCGTATGTAACCCGAGGTACCACTGTATAAAACGTTTATTGTCTCATGGCACAAGACAAGCATAAACATGCTAGCTACGTTAACTGATGCTGGTACATCATGAACTAATCTACTATAAAATACAATTATTCTGGTCTTAGAAATAAACATTTCAAAGATACAAATTGACAGAGAGATCTACTAGCACTTTGCCATGCTAGCTCACCATGCTATAGCATGTAACCTTCAGTTTCACAACATTGATGCTTTGCACTGAGCAGTGAACACCTCACACTGCTAGCAAAAGCAGTCTTGGCTTTATACCACCAACACCACCCCACTGCACATTCACACAATCCTTAGAGAAAGGGACGGTGGGTGAGTTGTGCTTTAGGCATTTATCCTTGGACTGTTTCTAACCACCTGGCTCCTTCTCTAAGCAGAACCCAGTCACAGAGAATGTGCAGTTCAGAACCCGGCCCAAGCATTTAGTGTGATTTCACCCATATTTTTTTTCCAAATTACACCAACATAGTTGTTAATATTTTGGACAGTGAAATGCAACATGGAAGGGGGATATTTATTAAAAGCATTTGTCCTCGGCAAGGAGCATTTGCATATTGCGCTATAGAGGTGAAAGCAATGCGTACAACTTTGTCTCCACTCCACCTAGGGCAGGACGATTACGACAGGCTCCGCCCCCTCTCCTATAATGGGGCTCATGCAGTTATCATGTGCTATGATGTCACCAGCCCAGCCAGCTTCAACAACATCCTCACAAAGGTAAAAAGGCCATGCAATAACTAAGCCAAGACTATCTATGAACTCAGTAAGAACAGCTGCCTCTGGAGTCTATGGAATAGGTGATATAAGAATAATGTGATATGATAGATAGATGTAGATATAATCTGCAGATTTGCACCCAACATTGCTCAGGAATTTTAAGATATCAAAATAATCAGTGTCGTCTTGAAAGCTCCAGTCCACCATCTTGATTCAAAATGGCGTCCAGTTGTACCCTAGCATCGATTAAGCACACAAATTTCCTGTGTGTGTGTGGTATAATCAAATTGGTATGCCAAGTTGGCATGCACACACACTACAGCATTCCTGAAGCATTGAAAGAGGGGAAGTAGTAAATAGCAAAGGCATCATTTAGCAGATATGGGTGCCTTATTTAAGGAAACAACTCGTTTTCATTAATATAGTGAACAAACTAAACATTTTAAGTTGTGGTTCTTCAGAAAAACCTCTATTAATTTCTCTGCTCATTTATATATCAGGATCCAGCCCCTCACCACCATGTTACTTACTCTCTCTCTCTCTCTCTCTCTCTCTCTGTGTGTGTGTGTGTGTCCCCTTTTAGTGGTACCCTGAAGTGAACCATTTCTGCAGAGGGATTCCACTCCTGCTTGTTGGATGCAAGACAGACCTAAGAAAGGACAAGGTTCTGCTAAGGAGGTTGCATCAGGACCATCTGGAGCCCATCACATATCAGAAGGTAATACAATCAGCAGATAGCTCCTCTGCACCAGTCTCACATGGGCAAGAGTCAGCACCAATGGACTTCCACACTAAACAATATGAATCCCACAGACATGTCTCTGGGACACAGCAGTCATGTTGTTTTTACTTCTGCCCATATGGTCATTCTTGCCAGAGCCCCATCCTTGCCAGGTGCTGGTAATGGGGAGTGGCAATCAAATATTAGTTGAAAAGTATGTGTTTGTTTGCAATGCAAAGGAATTTCTTCCTAATAGAAGTTTATTGAGCAAGAGCAGCCCCACCACTGAGATGGTCAAATCCAGGCACCAGCTTTTGTCTTGCCACGAAAGGGCAGAAAATTTCTTACTCTGGGATTCAGTGTGGATTTTCTGTTTCAGGAAGTAAAATGTCATGGACCACCCCTTATTTTCCTTTTGGTAGGGTCTTCGCTCTCCTCCCTTTCCCTAACAAGATCTCGTACAGTTCATAGTGTTGGCGCTGACCTTTAAAGCCCTAAATGGCCTCCGCCCAGTATACCTGAAGGAGCATCTCCACCCGCATTGTTCTGCCCAGACACTGAGGTCCAGCTCTGAGGGCCTTCTGGCAGTTCCTTCACTGCGAGAAGTGAAGCTACAGGGTGAACCAGGCAGAGGGCCTTCTGGGTAGTGACACCTGCCCCATGGAACGCTCTCCCATCAGATGTCAAGGAAAAAAGCAACTATCTGACTTTTAGAAGACATCTGAAGGCAGCCCTATTTAAAGAAGTTTTTAATGTTTGATGTTTTATCGTAATAATAATAATAATAATAATAATAATAATAATATTCTGTTGGGAGCCACCCAGAGTGGCTGGAGTAATAATAATAATAATAATAATAATAATAATAATAATAATAAATTATCATCATCATCATTTATTATGACATTCTCTTCTCCTCTTTCCCCCTCCACACACGCCTTTATAGGGAGAGTCTTTGGCCCGGAATCTCCATGCAGTTGCCTACCTTGAGTGCTCAGCTCGTTTCCATGAGAACATCATCGACATATTCACAGAGGCTTCCAGAGCAGCCTTGAATACCATGAAGAAGAAGAAACGCAGGCGCAAACCCAAAAGGACTTGCCTGCTTTCCTGATAGCCAGAGTAGATCAACATGTCAGCAGATGGATGGAACCAGCAGTGGAGGATTGGTGGGGTGTTTGGCAACTGCCCAGCACCCCACACTTTAGGGAGCCCCCAAGTCTTGTACAAAATCCTGCTTGCCTCCTTTATGGTCAGTCATTCTCAGCAGGATTTCAGTTGAACATAAACTTGGGAGAGGCTGCAATTACAGTGGATTGATTGAGGACTTTGCTTCCAAGGAGGCTCAAAACAGTTCATTTCATTAAACAGGGTACTAGAGAATTTACTTTTAAGTGATCAGTCATTATACCATTATTTATCAGTGATCTGACTACCATATGTTCCTCCTACCATGATATTATATAATAAGCTTTTATATTTTTTTATATTTTTAGGGTTTCCTCGACATAACAATTTGTTTCTTTTTGTTTATGACTTGTATCTGTGTATTTACAATGTAGTGTTAGATAATGTATTCTTGCACACAGTCTCCCTCCATTTTGATTCAGGCATACCTCACTCAAGGGCCCTCTTCCAGAAAGCGCGAATCCCAAGTTCTGACACCAGTGTTGCACACCACCCCAATCTCTGAGCTGTGCAAAATTCCAGGGGTTCCAGGTGCTTTGTCCAGGGTCCATGTTTCATTTTGGGAACGAGGCACATAAGAGACTGTGGTGGCTTTATGATATATAGTATATTTATACATATATACAAACTGAGCCTACGATGGAGGGGTTCACAGCATTAACACTCCAAGAGGGTCTTGCTTCTCCCATAGGTGCAGCCTTGGATCCAAACAGACATCAGACATCATGCCCTGCCTGCTACTTCACTTCTCCTGGACACATAACTCCCAACACTGCCACTCCAAGTTTTGGCTTTATCTGTTGGGGGAAAGGTCCCACTCATTTGCCATCTCACACCAAGCACCTTTTGATCCTTTGTCGTATTAATGGCTCATCCACCATGCTACCACCTCAACACAGGAGAATAGCCTGGCTTAATTAGCTTTGGACACTTGCTAATTCTAGGGGAATTAGAAGTATCTCGTACACAACTTCATACATGTCTGGCATCTAGTTTTAACACCCTAGCTTTAATTAAATTCTAACAGCTACTAGACCCAGCAAATGAATGTATTACGATACAATTGTATTTCCATTGCAGTTTCATGTAAAGAATCAAGTGAAATTTTATGCCTGACTTGCTTTCATTCCTTTAAGGGGCCCCAAATGACTTTCTTGCCCAGGGCCCCCCAAACCTTAGGGGCACCAGAATGTACCAGCTTAAAATCAAGCCTCCAAGATCTAGTGACTCGATATCTGCTTACTTTTAGCAGCTGGCTTAAGTGGAGAAGATTAGTAGATGGTCTTAGCTTCTGGATCTAAATGTCATGAGAATCAGGTAAAGACCTCCCTCCACATATTCCATTTGTGTTTATACCAGGCCTAAAATATGTAAACCCCACCAGCCAAATGCAGCCTACCAGCCACTCAATAAGCCTCCTGTTTTTGCTGTCTGCCTAAGATTGCAAATGGAGGAGTTGTCAAGTGCCTGGCATGCCACAGGTAGCAAGCAGGCTGCAACCAGCTTCTTTAGGACAGGTTTACACCAAACCTTAAAAGAAGAAGAAGAGTTTGGATTTGATATTCCGCTTTATCACTACCCGAAGGAGTCTCAAAGCGGCTAACGTTCTCCTTTCCCTTCCTCCCCGACAACAAACACTCTGTGAGGTAAGCAGGGCTGAGAGACTTCAAAGAAGTGTGACTAGCCCAAGGTCACCCAGCAGCTGCATGTGGAGGAGCGGAGATGTGAACCCGATTCCACAGATTACGAATCTACTGCTCTTAACCACTGCACCACACTGGCTCCCACCTTCTAAATTTGTTGTCCACTATATCCACCCAAGTGCTTATGTCTTCCATGTTGTTGATTGTCAACACTGTCCTTTCCAGAAAATTATGTTTCCTGAGAAGCTGCAGTAGAGGTTGTTAATTTCACACATTTTTTTTCATCCTTTCTGGGACCTGATTTTGCCTTTAGTCAATTTAGGGATCTATAATCCTCAGACAGAGTAGCTGGCAACAACTACAAGCACCTGGCCACAATGAGTGATAGTATTCCAAGTCACCCAAATAACAGGTTTTCTCTGCTACTTATAAGGTTTCACTAGATATTGACCAAAAAGTGTGTCTGTTCTGGGTTACTGTTTTTTAAAGTCACTACTTTGTTTTTGTACACTACTTTGTTTTTGCCCTGGGGATTATCTAATACTTATTTCCCCTAAATTGATTTCTGAATTTTGAATTTTATTATTATTAATGTTTTTATACTGTATTTTATGCTACTTTTACAATTAAGTGTTTTAAATTTGTTGTTAGCCGCCCTGAGCCCAGTTTTGGAACTGGGAAGGGCGGGGTATTAATTATTATTATTATTATTATTATTATTATTATTATTATTATTATTCGTCCCTGAGCTTTCCGATCAGTTTTGCCATTTCAGCTTGATTTGCCATTCCTCTCTGGTAGGGGCTTTGTCTTATTCCATCTCTGGGCTAATAGCATCTGTGTCATTTCTGTTCCTTTGGGATGTCGGTACCTACCATTCCTAATAAAAAGTCTTCTGGTTATTTTACAAAAGTTATTTTAAACATTTTTTTTAATTCATTATATATCATTTCCCAGAAAGTCTTTATAACTTTGCATGACCACCACAGATGATAAAAGGTAACTTCTTTTTCTTTACATTTCCAGCAGGTATTTGTACTTGTTCTATACATTTTTGCTAGCTTAAAGGTAAAGGTACCCCTGCCCATACGGGCCAGTCTTGCCAGACTCTGGGGTTGTGCGCCCATCTCACTCAAGAGGCCGGGGGCCAGCGCTGTCCGGAGACACTTCCGGGTCACGTGGCCAGCGTGACATCGCTGCTCTGGCGAGCCAGAGCCGCACACGGAAACGCCGTTTACCTTCCCGCTAGAAAGCGGTCCCTATTTATCTACTTGCACCCGGGGGTGCTTTTGAACTGCTAGGTTGGCAGGCGCTGGGACCGAGCAACGGGAGCGCACCCCGCCGCGGGGATTCGAACCGCCAACCTTTCGATCGGCAAGCCCTAGGCGCTGAGGCTTTTACCCACAGCTCCACCCGCGTCCCACTTTTTGCTAGCTTACTAGGAGTCAAATACCACCGGTACATCATTTTCATGTAATTTTCTTTTAGCGTAGAACATGCCATGAATTTCAAATCCGTTTTCCATAGCCAGTGGCGTAGCGTGGGTTGTCAGCACCCGGGGCAAGGCAAGTAATTTGCGCCCCCTAACCCGTGGATTTGCGCCCCCTAACCTGTGGATTTGCCCTAACCCCAGATGTTGCGCCCGGTGCGGCCGGCCCCCCCTGCACCCCCCACGCTACGCCACTGTCCATAACCATTCCCAGTCTGAATGTTGTGCTCCAAATCCTTTGCCCAGTGTATCATTACAGATTTAACCTGTTCATCTTTTGTATGCCATTCCAAGAGTCACTACTGTGGAGAACATTCTGGGCTCCAGAATGATTGAAGAATGGAGAAGGATGTTTATATGCTTTCAGCCCAACATTTGTTCAATGGTATGCACTGGATTGGGGTGGGATAAGAGTTGAATATAAATTTAACAGAAAAATCCATAGCATGTAGGGCTAGAACTTTGGAAACAGCTACTGTACTGGACAGCACATTCCAACAATATGACCTTGAGGTGGAAATAAGTCAAAGGTCATTGCATGGCAGCTGAAATCATGTGATGAGGCAGCCATGCAAAGCCTCCAGTCATAAGACAAACTCATCACAATAACCACCCATAGCCACACACACACACAAACCCAGGGGAGAGAGGATGGAATACCACTGAGTTGGAGGCTATAGACATCAATGAAATAGAAAAGATCTCAGTTCAAATCTTCAGTTACGCTCTTTGGATGACATAGGACAAATCATAATCTGTCAAATGAGGCTATTTCATAGGATTTATCTGAAAATAAAACGGGATAGCCCCCAAGCAGGACATTCTGAGCTCCTTGGAAGAAGGGCATGTCATATAAGGTGCATTTTAAATTAACTTCTATCCCTGATTTTTAAATTAAATAAAAGTATTTAACTCTTTTCTCTGTTTGTTATGCTTCTGAAGCTAATAGGTTGGGCAGATGCAGAAAAGGACAGAGCTCCGCCATCTTTAATATATATCCTGTATCCAAACCACTTAGGACTTTATGGATACTAATCTACTACTAGAACCCAGTGCAGATTCAACAAAAACAGATCAATATGTTCCCAAAAGCAAACCCCAGGCAACACTCTGGCTGCATCATTTTGCACCAACTGAAGTTTCAAACACTTTTCAGGGGCAGCCCCACCTAAAGCACATTGCATTAATCTAATCTGAATATGATCACGACATGAGGTGCAATGAGGCAGTGTGTCTGGCTGTTAACCAGAAGGTTAGTGGGCAGTTGTGGGCAGAATTCCTGCATTGCAGGGGGTTGGACTAGATGACTCTCGGCATCCCTTCCAACTCTGGAATTCTGTGATTCTATGGCTCTATAAGTCGCAGTGGTGAAGCCTGCTTTTTTGCAGGAAAGAGCACAGTTGGCACACTCACTTAAACTGGGCAAAAGTAGTGCTGGCCACAGCCCATGCCCAGCAGTCCAGGAGTATACAATACAGGGGCACATTCAAACTGCAAATGTCACTCAGTGTGAATACTTTGCAACTCCATCTGGTGCACGTGTAACCTTGCACTGATTTCCCTGTTGACCAACAGCACCTCACCATGCTCAGACATTGGTTTCCACAGCATCTCTAGAATGACATACAAAAGAGAGATAGGCCTGAGTGTCTCCTGCATATTATTGATAGCACCCCATGCAAACAGGTGTCCCCCAAAACCACCTTCTGGGCCCTGCCCACCTAAGTAAGACTGCAGTCATCACAAAACAGTGCATCCAAGCCCCATCCTGTCCAAACAGCACAGGAGTCATCAATTAGTCCCATGGATTAAAAAAGCGTGCCTGCAGGGGGCGTCTTACCCATAGAGGCTAGTGGTGCAGGGCACCAGGGCACCAAGTTCTGGAGGGTGCCAGGGAAGAGGCGGAGGCTGGACGCGGCGCGTCCCGGCATCAGCTCGCCGCCCTTGCCTGCCTCCGCCATGCTGCGTCGAAGCAGCACTGCGCCCGGAGCCTCCGTCTGCCATGGCCACCATGGCACGAAGCAGCCAGTTGAGCTAGGACACACCACATCCAGCCTCCACCTGTTCCCCTCCAGCTGCTGCCTGCCTCCTCCAGCCCCACCGGCAGCTGGGAAACGGGGGGGGGGCACCGGAGGGAGCTTTGCACCACAGCATCAGATATGCTTAAGACGGTCCTGCATGCCTGGAACTGCTATCTTAAGTATATATTTTGTTAGGCTGCAATCATTTCTAATTGACAGAGAGAATAGAACTATACACAAACCACATGGAAAGTGCTTCCATTCATGCAAAAGGAGATATAACCCTCCATTTCTGGGATTCACTTCCAGATTCCCGGCACTGCACGTGTGTGTGTGTTGTTGTGCACAAATAGAGCACAGGTAAATGGAGAGTTGCCTGAAGATGTGTTTCAAGGTTAAAAAAAAAGGCATCAGTGAGGGAAACAGCTTTATCTTCATGGGGAACAAATTCCACAAGCAGGAAGCCACCACAGACAAAGCCCTTTGCCCACATCACCACATACCAAGCCATGCACATTGATGGGACTGTGAAATGCGGCTCCTCTGCATTCACATGCACAAATACATAGGCACATTTTATACAGACACACATAAAAGAGTAATACTGGTAATAATAATAATGATAATGATAATAATAATAATAATTTATTATTTATACCCTGTGGCTCCTAACTGATTATTAAAAACACAATAAAACATCAAACATTAAAAACTTCCCTAAACAGGACTGCCTTCAGAAGTCTTATAAAAGTCAGATGGTTGCTTATTTCCTTGATATCTGATGGGAGGGTGTTCCACAGGGCGAGCGCCACCACCGAGAAGGCCCTCTGCCTGGTTCCCTGTAACTTCGCAATGAGGGAACTGCCAGAAGGCTCTCGAAGCTGGACCTCAGTGTCTGGGTTGAATGATGCGTGTGGAGACGCTCCTTCAGGTATACTGGGCTGAGGCCGT